GGAGCAGGTACCCGAATTTGACAGGTACCCCCTCCCACTTCCACTCTGATCGCCTAGGCAATCGGAAGTGGAAGGTGTCCTCCCTCCCCGTAGTCTTTTGGGACACATGACAGGTCCCAGAAGACTACAGGACCATTCAGGAAGCGCAGCACTACTTGTGCATGTGCAGTGAGTACCCAGCTGTGAAGCTGCAAGCTGTCACAGCCAGTTGCCCACACTGAAGATGCCGGCGCCCAGGGAGAAAAGACAGGCTGCAGGGGCACACCGAAGGACAGGTGAGTGTGTGTTGTTTAAAAGTCAGCAGCTACATTTTTTTTTGTTTTTTTGACCGCGTGAGTGGAACTCCGCTTTAATCACCACTGGGGTTTTTCTTTTTTGCTAAACAAACTTAAAACTGAAAATTTTGCAGGAAAAAAAAGTTAGTTTAAAATTTTGCAAATAAGTAATTTTTTCCTTCACTGATGTGCGCTAATGAGGCTGCACTGGTGGGCGTTGAATGCCAGCACTCATATATGGCACTGACGGGCATCATTGACTGGCACTGATAGTTGGCATTGAAAGGCAGCTCTGATGGACACTGTGGCATTGATGGACACTGACAAGAGGCAATTATGGGCACTGACAGGTGGCACTGAGGGGGCTACACTGATCATCAGGGCACTGATGATCAGTGTACTTGTCCCCTCTGAGGGGAATGCTGCTTGCTGGCTCTCCTCTCCTCACGCGCTGTCAGCATGAGGAGAGGACTGCCGATAACCGGCATTTCCTATTTACATGCGAACAGCTGTGATTGGACAACTGTGTCATCAGCTCTTTGCTGCGATCGGTGATCCGCTGTGTCCCAGGGACACAGCGCATCAGCTATTGCCACGCACCTCCCTTTTTTCTACTTGTGTTGCAATGCACTTGCGTGGCGTGACTGGTTCTTTGGCGTTGAATAGGAGAGCCAAGATGACTTGCCAAGGGAAATCTTCAGAGTAGAAATGCCAATAAAATAACTTATTCTTACAGTGGTTCTAAAGCCTACACTTTTTACCTTAATGCATTATGTGCATTAAGGTTTTGGTCCTCCCTACCCCTTTTTACTTACCTGAGCCCTTCTTCAGCGCTGTGCATGTCTGCAGCTTTTCTCTCCCCTCAAATCCATTTCCTACTGGCTATGCTGGGACACTGGGAGCTTCTGCTGCTGTCAATCAAAGCTAGTGACAAGGGATCGAGGAATGGTGGGGCTGAGTCACGCTGTCTGTGTCAATGGACTCAGCAGGGTTTGGGAGTGAGCACACACAAGTGGACAGAGAGGAGGAGCCCGTAACGCCAGTGGAGGGACCCAAGAAGAACAAGTTTGGGGCTGCTCTATTCAATTCCACTGCACAGAGCAGGTAAGTATTGTGCCCCCCCTTTTTTACAATCACTTTCACCCTTGCAGGCAAAAGAAAATTTGCCTAGAGTTAGTCTTTTGGTTCTGCCATATTTTAATGGATAGCAAAGTTGGATTGAACACCATAGCTTTGTGATAAATTTGCCATTCTTTTAGTTGTGGTCGTTTTGAATTTCCAACACATATTAAAAACAGTGGGTGGCTGAGCTTGTGTACATCCATGTAGAACAAATATCAGTTTGTGTGGGATGACTTCTTTTTTTTTTTTTTTTTTTTTTTTTTTTAAAGACACTTAGCTCCCTACGTCTGGAACTGCAGAACGTACAAGAGGATGATGATGAAAGAGAGGCGCCTTTTGGAGGAGGAATTAGAGGGAACCCTAGATGATCTTGATAAATTGCAACAAGAGGAGGAGGCAGCAGAGAAAATAATCATACAGCTGGAGCAAGAGAATAAGCGGAGAGTAGAAGAACTTGCACAGTTAGAGAAAACTCTTAAAGGGTATGTCCAATGGAAAAAATGCCCCTTTTTCTTATTATAAACTGACTCTAGAATTGTTTGGGGGTTTGTATGTATAAAAGGAGGTGTCCATCCTCTTCCTGTTCTTGGCCAGGAAGGGAAGAAATTTCTCCAAACTGAGGGCATTGTCCTCTTGGGCAGCTGTCACTAGAACAAGCGTTCCGATTGGAAGATTTCCCCTCCTCTATGGGTGTGATAACACTAACTACATTTTGAATTATTTCACTTTGAGTCTCAATAATAAGTGTCACCAGGACAAATAGAGGTTGACTCTTTCTAGTGGGGACCTGGGCAGTACTAGTATAAAAAAAACAAACAAAAAAAAAAAATTCTCACACCTTGTGTCTTCCTCCCCCCACAACGGGGGGGGAAAGTCATAAGGAGTGTTGTTGACACTCTTTTTAGAATTATCTCGTACCGCCACACTGAAATCGTTGGCGTACCTGTCGGGAACAGGTACATGAATAGCAGGTGGCAACACAGAGGACCGAGTTTCCATGCTGGACACTTCATCCTCTATGCAGCTCATCATTACTGAATGCGGTTTCCAGCCACTGTACTGGTCTCACACACAGGCACATGGCTGAGGAGTTTGGTGGGTGGGTAGAACCTGATTGGGAACAGTCATCTGATCTGAGAGAATAGTTATCCATGTCCACCTTGCTTTTGATTGACAGCACTGCAGCTGTGGAGCTGGGTGTGTGAAACTTAATGGGGAACTTTGAGACTAATTTCCAATCGGGTCCACCTTCCATGTGACTCATCACTGCCCATATATGGACATTGCCTAATTTGGGTATTGACATCATCAGCCCGTCACCCTGGACCAACTTTTTTATATTTAAGTTCAGCCGAGGAATCCCTGCTTAATGGGGCTAAGAATAGGGTCCTGTGCGGGATAGTGTCAAATTCATGACAACTTCCCAGCACAGACATGCCTCACTCTGAGATGGCATACAGAAAGTTGCCAGTTCTCAGAGTTGGTCTTGATTACTCCCAGTTTCTTAATTGGCAATCTGGCGGTAATTCTTCTGAAATCTCTTGAAGCCACAGTGACAGGTTCTTAAAGTGGAATTTGTCACCCTTGTCAGTACTGTTGCAGAAACTGCCTCAAACTCTTGCCTAAAGGTAGCTATAAAGGGACCTACTGGCAGAAAAGCGTAATTTTCTGCCATGTGTTAAGTCCACCTTTTCTCTGCAGGTTTCAAACTGCTCCCCCCCACTGGAAATATATATAATCCTTTTTTTTTTTTTTTTCCCTTTCTCTCAATCTCATTTTATCACTGGAAGATGGAGCATAAAAAATAACTTAATTAGCATCAGTAAAGTAATCAGTTTGATTTAGCATGGTGAGTCCAGAAACAAAGCAGAATTTTTTTTTCATCAGATGGTTGAGTGCCATAATCCTTTAGTTGAACTGTGCTCATGCAGCTATACGCTTGTAGGTACAAGAGGAGAGGTTACATGCTTAGGGTATATAGTTGAGCTCATTCTTTAGCCATTGGAGCTAGTATTCCCTTCAGCCAACATAGCGGTCTGATATTGTAATACCTTTCATTTTGTTTGTTTTTTTTTTTTTTCAGGAAAAATGCAGAGCTTGAAAGAGCAAAGGAGAAGCACAAGAAGAAAATCTTAAAGCTGAAAGAAGAGCAGAATAACTTACTGCTACAGCTCGCTGAATATGAAAGGTATTTGAGTATTTCAGTCTGTGAAACTGGCATTAGGTATGATGGCTTATATTTAATACACTTCTATTTTACATCTAGTTTTAGGACTACGGCAGCAACAGAAATTGACTCTTTAAAGATGACAAATATTTCCCTTATGGAAAAAATTTCCCAGGTAGAAATGGATAAAGAGATTCTGTGCCAACAGCTTGAGGAAAATTCAAAAATAAGTGAATCGTTGAAACATCAAATTTGTACACTTAAAGAAGAATCCTCAAAAACAAAGGAATGTTTGGAACAAAGGCTACTTGAGCTCCAAGAAAGATCAAGAAAAACTAAAGAGAGAATGGCGCAAGAGCTTAATGATCTCCAAGAAACCTCTTCCAAAATGAGGGTGCAATTGGAGCAGAAGCTTTTTGAGCTTCAGGAAACCTCTACCAAAACAAGGGAAGGGTTGGAGCAACAGCTTAAAGAGGTTGAGGATATCTCCATGAAAGCAACAGAGGAACTAGAGAAGAAGCTTCTGAATGTTCAAGAAACCTCAGAAAAAGAGAGGGAGGTATTGGAAAACCAGATTCTTGAACTTCAAGAAACATCTGCTCTTTTGAGGCAGCAGCTTTTTTTACGAGCAGGAGACTTCCTGCAAAGCAAAAGCAGAACTAGAGCAACAGCTTCTTGAACTCCAGGAGATATATTTAACATCTAAGAAGACATTGGAAGACCAACTTTGTGATCTGCAAGAAACAAAGGAAGCATTAGAGCAGCAGCTTCTTGAAATCCGGGAGACATCAGCAAAAACACAGCAATTATTAGAACAGCAGCTATTTGACTTGCAGGAACGTTCAACAAAAACTAGGGAAGGACTAGAACAGCAGCTAATTGATCTGCAGGAAAGTTCAGCAAAAAACAGGGAAGGATTGGAGCAGCATCTACGTCTATTGCAGGAAAGTTCAACAAAAACTAGGGAAGGATTGGAACAACAGCTACTTGACATGCAGGACAGTTCAATAAAAACTAGGGAAGAATTGGAACAACAGCTACTTGACTTACAGGAAAGTTCAACCAAAACTCGGGAAGAATTGGAACAGCAGCTACTTGACTTACAGGAAAGTGCAACAAAAACCAGGGATAAATTGGAGCAGCAGATTGATGATCTTAAGACTAGTGCGATCAAAACTCACAAAGGATTGGAAAAAAAAGTTCTTGAGATGCGAGAGACTTCCACAAAGACTGTTTGTGAATTAGAACTGCAAGTGCTTGAACTACAGCGAGAGCTGGCAAAAACAAAGAATGATGCAGAGCAGAAGCATCATGAACTGAAGAATAACAATGAAGCCATGGAAAAAGAAATTCAGGAAATGAATAATGCGTCAGAAAAAATAACACAATTGGAGATACAACTACTTGAGCTGCAGGAGTCCTCTAAGAAAACAAAAGAAAACTTGAAGAAAAGGCTTCAAGAACTTCTGGAGACCTCTGCTAAAAGAGAGGAGGAAGTTGAACAAAAAAATAATGAGCTTACAAACCTAAGGATACATTTTTCCAAATTACAAGAGGAGCTTGCAAGGTATGATCTTGCATTATCGATCTAATAAAACCAACCCTGATGTATGCAAAATTTACCACTTTAACCAGTCACGAGGTGTGTGTGTGTGTGTTCGTTCCTGGCGGGCATGTTGGCAGTTGTTTTGCTGTTTGACCATCATAAGGGCTCGTTCACACTAGGCTGTTTTGCCAACGCTTGCCAAACGCCCCTATAGCGTTTGGCAAGCGTTGGTCCGGTGTTTGCGGAGCGTTTTTAACGCTCGGCAAACGCTCCGCAAAGCGCGGTGCGCGGTTTAGCGGCGGTTGCTAGGCGTTTGCCGAGCGTTAATAACGCCCCACAAACGCCTATAATGCATTTGAGTGGTGTTACCGCTCCGCAAAACGCCCCGCAACCGCACCGCAAAACGCCGGCCGGGCGTTTGCGGAGCGGCACCATAGACGAGAATAGGAGGCTTCAAAGCCTCCTGACTCCACCAGAGGCGTCCGTTTTGCCGCGACGCGACGCAAACGCTCCTGTTAGAACAGCACCATGTGCTGTAAATGTGCAGAGTTGGCAGAGGCGTAAAAACGCTTCCCAAACGCCTCTCTGCCGCCTGCACACAAGGCTAGTGTGAACGTAGCCTAAGATTGCTTTTGGACGTCTCAATGGTTAAGGAATCAAAACCTAAGATTTAAAAAAAAAAAAAAAAAAAAAAGTACAAGGGACATTACTTCCCATCAGTGCGATCTGTTCTTTGTGCTGCTGTCTCCTGGTTTATGTGAAATCCTCCTTCAATGCCTCCCACACCCCCGCTGCCAAAATCTTCTGGTGACGCATGGGTTAGTTGAACTGAGCGGCAGTGACAGGCACTCATCAAAAGTGCTGAACTATGCCTGCCCTTTTTTCCACCCAATTCCTCTATTCATAGAGATCATACTTGAGTGTCTATGAATGGAAGAGTGCAGACCTTTTAATCAGCCACACGTCCTCCCATTCATGGATTGCGTTTCATAGAAGATATTTTATGGCTTCTACAAATGGAGGTACATGGTGGAAATGGCGAACATAGTCGACAGGCCTTGATAAATGCCTGTCAGCTCTAATGGTTCTGTTACCCCCGTGGCACCAAAAGATGATGGCAAGGTGGGGGGGGAATAATCTGAGTAGGAAGATTTTATTTAAACCAGGAGACAGAGGCACAATGTACATGTTACACTGATGGTACATAACGTCCCTTGTTGAGTGTGGCTTTGATCCAACTTTACTCTCTCTGGATCAAAGTAGTGCAGGCACTTTTTCAAAGTCACACCGGTTTTGAACGCGTGCCATTTTAAAAGAATGGGCTGCTACTTGTCGTGCGACTTTGACTTAGGCTCCATTCACACTTATGCAACTTGGATGCCAAAGAGGAAGACATAGAATGGTCTTTTTGAGGTATTGGCTAGTAGTAGATGGTTAGTTCTCATTCTTCAGCTGGTAAATCAAAACTACCAAAATGTTAAATGCCAGTTGATCTTCTCTGCAAAGATATTGCATTTATTTATCATTGTTTTCATACAACATTGACATATTTTCACATAAGAGTCAGTTGGAAAAATTGTTAAATCTTTTGTGTGATAACATTGATAACGAGACCTGTTGGTATTCTCTGGTTTGTTCAGGTTAGTAACAATAAATTTTCTTATAGGAAAGAGTGTGAAAATGAAGAAACCATGAAATGGCGCACTCTGTATGAGGAGTTGTTCAATAAAGTTAGACCCTTTCAGGTATGTTTTTATATATGATCTCCCATAGGGTTCAGTGTCTCAATTTTTATCAGACTACATTGCATAATATGTTGCAGCTCTCTGTAGTGCTCTCCTGTGAGTCCAGAGTGGAGGGGGAATCCTGACATCCTAGGCTCACCTGAAGTGGGTTGAATTTCACCCAGCGTAGAAGAGAAGCAATGTTGCATCACTGAATCGGTACAGCATGACAGATTGGCCTGTGTAGCAGCCTTTGTGTTATACCTGGGCTGAGATTTTTAAAGTGGAGTTCTGTGTTATACCTGGGCTGAGATTTTTAAAGTGGAGTTCTGGGATAAACCTATCTAATCTTAAAGTGTTGTAAAGAAGTTGTTGTTTTTTTTTGTTTTTTTTTTTTAATTTTGTTAAAGGAGAAGTACAGCCAAAGCTCTTCTGGCTGTACTCCTGGGGATCACGTTCTGCACGCCTGTGACCGGTTCAGCCTGCTGTCAGCTGACAGGGGAAAGATCCTGACTTGGGATCCACCCTAGAGTCTGAAGTGTCACCTGTGTAATGGAACAAGACCCAGACTGCGCATGAGTACTTCCGTTAGAATACCGCTTCCCCATCCGAACACAGACAACGGACACCACAGCCGACCATACAAGACTAGACGACACCAGTCTGTCTGAATATGGAACTCTTTATTTTAAACTCAAACAGGCTTTTTTATACAATACACACTGAGACTGATCATGTGGTCATATGCAAACACCGATATATACAGAAATAGACTTAACACTCTAAATAGTTAATTAGGTTAGCTAGCTGGGTGATGGAATTCACACCTAGACAATGCTTTGATGAATTAGGAGCTCACTACAGAGCAGACAATCCGGCTCCTACACTGGAGTAGAGGAGAGGCCAGCATGATCAGCCCTTTCAGTTGACATGTCTAGTTCAGAATCAACAACCATGAATAGTCTTCATATGGCTGATAAATATTACTGTCCCATCTGAAGTAATTCCAACCGCATTCTCAGCGTGTATTCGTCACCCTGTGCCCCTAAGACACAGGGTGACCTGCACATAAGAGGGATATGGGGAGCTTAGACAGGGGTCTCCCAACCTCTGCAAAGTAAGCTGGGTTCCATGAGCCCCCCCCCCCCCCCAAAGTGACTCCTGTCACAACCTGGCTCAGCCTCTTAGTGGCGATTCTAAGAGCCTGAGTCAGCTGCTCTCCCTCCACAACCCAGTGAAACCCATACTTCTCTTTTTTAAGGATAAGTGTGCACTCAAATTTTGCAAAAACAAACCTGCTCAGGATAAAGTATAGTTACCATGGAAAGATAAACACGAGGCGAGGGCTCAACATAAACAAGCAGCCATGCACAATAAAGGAAACCATAGACCTTCAAAAAGACATATAAAGTGAAATAAGCGCAGCGCTAAAAATGTAAATACACCTGGTAGGTGTATGACATATAATTTGTGCATAAAGTCCATAATAAATATATACATAAAGAGCTCAGAGTGACTTCGATATTCCCCAATTCATCACTTTCTCAAATTCGGTGAGAGGCAGGATATAGATAAAATGCGCACTCACCGGACGTGCAAAGGTATCGCTCAGTGTATAAACAAATGGAGGTCTGCCAAGGGGTCCCTCTCAGGATGGAAATGGAATCCACCAGGGATGAATGGATGTCGTCAGGATGGATATTCAACCGGAGGTCCACTTTAAGGACATGGGTGCATCCTCTTCAATGTAATGGGATAGTCACCAGGGGGGCTCTAGGGGATTAAATGCTCAGTGCAGAAGCACTCCAGAAAATGAGCTCTTTATATATACAGTATATATTTATTATGGACTTTATGCACGAATTATATGTCCTACACCTACCATGACTATTTACATTTTAGCGCTGCACTTATTTCACTTTATAGTTACCATAGGCTAGCAAGGCTATGGGGGTTTGCAATATCTCCTGATGGTCAGTAGAAGTGATTGCTGCATAGCATGTCTGGAGTTCTGACCTCTGGGAAATTGTAACCTGTACATTTTTGACTTTTTCTAAATTGGATGCGGGGCTCTGCCCTAGAGCATGCCACATTGTATTTTGGGGTCTTGACAATCTGTTGTGTTGCACCCTGCATTTTACTGCCCTACACTGTGGTGTTTCTTTAGCAGATCTTTCTAACATCAGGAAGGAAAATGATACAGGCAATTCTTAGTCTTTATACAATATAGTATCGTGAAACAATAGGTTTGAAAGCTGTTTCCAGTCAGCGCCTACAGAATGTGTTTGTGTAGTTTAGAAGTGTTATAGGGACTTGTTTACTGTGAATACTCAAATAATATTTGTATTACAGCAACAATTGGACGCCTTTGAAGCTGAGAAAAATGCCTTGCTTAATGAGCGTGGAGCAGCACAGGATGAACTGAACAAACTCAGTGAAGCATATGCAAAGCTGCTTGGTCATCAGAATCAAAAACAAAAGATAAAGCATGTTGTCAAACTCAAACATGAAAAACATTCAACTAAAACAGGTGCAGTACAAGTTACACTTTCTCATTTTGAACAGCAGATGGCGGTATGAAAACTACTATCGTTTTGGTTGCATATAAACAATGAACTTATTTTTTTGTAACCACAGCATACGTTGTTCATTTTTAGATTGTTGGTTATGCTCCCCATCCATGTGATTGGACAGTGGCAAAGCCTGAATTGGCCTTGCAAATCCCACACACTCCCAGCATTGCGTCAGTTGTTTATGCTCCATCACCTACAGACACTAATAAACAAAAAATTTCTTCACTCATCCTAAACCCCCCTCAACCCGAGCTGCTGTAAGAAGTTTAATAAAATGTTAATATGCAACATACAGCGCTTCCCAAAATTAAAATGTATAAAATGCCAATAATTCATATCCTATAACAAAGTTCTACAAACACAGTGCATTAATTCAGTATATCAGTGCATGAATGAATATAAACAAAGCTGTGCAGATCAATAACCATACATGAATGAATATAAACAAAGCTGTCCAAAGCAATAAAAGTGTATTAGATCAATACATCAATAGTCCATCAAACAAGCAATGCAGTGAAAAAATATTGTGTAGAATTGATCCACCTGTAAATCAATTAGAAGTCCATAAACCATGCAGTCTTTAAAGCAAACATCTTCCATAAGGTGAGAAATGTATCAGCAAATCTTCAGTGTGCTAAAATGCTTGTGCTTCACACCCTTCAGGAAGCATACCAATAGTATAACTTAATCGCCAGATTTGATTGACCACTTGTTGCAAAATGGCCAAACAGTGCAGGTAACTTTGCCCAAAAGCACAGGAATCCCTTGGTTCCTACTATCTTCATAACACTTATGAAAGGCGTGTCCCATTCATACAAGTAGAAAAGGAGAAAAACTCAGTTTAAAACCATTTGTTTATTAAAAGTAACAAAAACAATCCAGCAGTGCTCAGATGTGAATTGAGCACCACACTAGTGCACTTCCTGCTCTGCAAGCCCCACCCAACATGTTTTGTCAATACGGACATCATCAACAGGGTGATTTTACTGTTGTGGATTTAGTAAAACTTTAAAGTGTTTGTAAAGTCTGTCTTTTTTTTTTCTTATAATACTAAATACCCTTTTTAGGCTTCTGTGCCGTCATGTAGTTTGCTCTCTCTTTCCAGAGCTCTGGACTGATATTCCTCTCTGATGTATGTAATTACATCAGAAGTGGAAGGTTTACACTTTGATCTTGTATGCTGATTGGCTGAACATGTTAAAAAGCAAAAACAAAATAGAGGATGGGGAGCAGCTACAGGGGAATAGCATTGCTCCTGCTCCACAGGAGGGGAGATGGGCAGAGGAAGAGGAGGGAGCAGGATGACAAACACTTAATCTGCCCACACTATCGTGGCCATAATTGGTGTGGTCAGTTTAAACAGGGGAACCCAGGAACAGGGAGGATCGATCAGGTATTGTATTGTGCTATTGTCCTTTAAAGGGACAGGAGCATGTGTGTTGTGTGTTGTTTTTTTTTTTTTTTTTTTGTGTTCGGGGGGGGGGGGGGGGGGGGGGTTTGTTGTGGGGGAGTGGTTGCGACCACTTTTTAATGCCTTTCATGATTTTTAAACCCCTTGACGCCAACGTCTCATAAATGTGTGGCCTAACGGAACTGGACTTTTTTCCGTGGGGCCGCATATTTGCGTACCTGTCTTTGTGCTGGAAGCACACCGCACTGCACGCTCCCAGCACAAAGACCGCGATGTCACTGAGAGCCCTGGGTCCCATTCTAATAATTCCGGGTCACATGATCGCTGTGATGGCCTCTGATTGGCTATCAGTGATCAGTCACTGTGCAGCCCAGCCCCCTTGTTTTTTTTTTTTTTTTCTCTCTGTGAATGGAGAAGAGATGCATTGTATCTCTCTAAGTCCTGGCATAGAGAGAAAAAAAAAAATGTTTGTTAAAAAAAAAAGATAGATAAATAACATAAAAAATACCTAGATCAAGGTTTGATCTAGTTCAGTGCCAGAGTTATTGTTTGGGTCAGGGTCAAAGGTCAGGATTAAAAAAAAAAATTGGTGTCAGTGTGTTTTTAGGTAAAAAAAAAAAAAAGACAAAAACAAAATGCGCACTATTGTTTCTGGGCTGTACTATGGGTACACACAACAAATAACATACATATATATGGTATCGCTGCGATCGCCAAGAGCTTGAGAATTTATCTTGGGTTGTTCTTTTGTGGTAGGCTATGGTAGTAACAAGAAACACACAGTAAAAAAAAAACAAACATTTTTTATTTAGCTATTTTGGGCCAGTTTTCCTTTTGATAATAAAAAAAAAAAAAAAATCAGGAGATATCCATTACCATTTACCACCAAATGAAAGCCCAATTTGTTATGAAAAAAAACGCGGTATAATTCACCTGGATGTACAAAGTAGTGGTGGTGATATGTACGGTTTTACTAACGCATGTCAATGTTGCAAAATTGTTCTTAGGCATTTAGATTTGTTTTACCCTTAGTCGTGAAGGGGTTAAGGCTCTGCTGTGTTCAGAGAAGGTTGCCCCTTTCTGGGATCCCTAGTGCTTATTCTTGCCCTCTGGGCTGTGTGGAACGTGGCTTTCACCGCCCACCTGCAGTAAATGTTTCTGTGGGCAGCCTGCAAGTAGGTGATGCATTTCTTCTTCATTAAGGTAATAAACTTTTACATGCCGCTTCCCCCCCCCCCCCCCCCAGCAGCTACTCTCCCCTCTGCCGACTCGCAGGCTTGTATATGTCACAGATAAGTATAAGATGTTTATTTTAATGAAGAAAAAAAAATGTACAATTGCTTTAAATATACCTGACTCAATATTCAGAAATTGAAGTAAATGGACAGTATTGGTTTTATTTACAATTGTAACCTGAGTGGTTATTGGTTTTATAACGGAGCTTTTTTTTTTTTTTTTTTTCGTTTCTCCATCTTTATTAAATCATTCAGGAACTTGCAAGGGTGAGGTCTGAATTGTCGAAAGAAAAGCAAAATGAAAGGCGGCTACAGGCTCAGCTAAATGATTTGAGGGGAGTAAAGCAGTTTGATCCAGACAAAGCTTTTCAGCATGATGTCAAAAGAAACATTCACCAAAGAGCTCCATTGAAAGATGGTAAGAGTGGTGATGCTAATTAAAAACAAAAGCAAAAAAAAAAATGGATGCATAGAAAAGAGACAGACATGATCTGTCTTGCTTTGAGGCTTCAAGGCTTTTTTTTTTTTTTTTTTTTTTTTTTTTTTTTTTGTTATACCTGCCATTATTCTAAAAGTACACTCCAGCTTGTTTGGGACAGACTGGAAAATCTGTCAGGTTATTACTACCCTGGACCTCACTACCTACTAATGTCTGCCACAATCTGTTAAGTGCCCAAACCTGAAAGGGGGTATTAACCCCACCTTCGGTCTAAAAGCACTAATTGTCTTCATCTAAGCTCAGGAATTCCCTAAGGAATCTATCAGGTGTATTGTCATGCCTCTACATCAAGGAGACTACATCCCTCTGAATGCAGCAGCTGTTCAGCCAACAAAACTTTGATGAGCTTGCTGAAATTCACATTGTATATGGCCAGCTTTACATGACCTCCTATGAGGGACAGTCAACACAGGTTTTCAGACGACTATGCTTACGCCAGCATTTTTCTTCCCCAGGAAATGCTATATATACTCTCTGGTCCCAAACTTGTATTATTATTCAGTCCAAAAGGAGTCAAACTCTACACCTTTGCATGAGAACCCTGGTTCTGATGATGGCCTCCTTCACCTCCAGACCCATACAACGCACCATTCTGTTGCCATTGGCCAAATTGGTTTAGTCCCTAGACAAGCTGATTTGTCTAGCACTGAGGACCAGTAATTATCTGGCTTAGTGGTTCCTGAATCAAGCACTGGCATCAGTCCTTTTCTTCCTGTCTTGAAATATCCTTGCAATGGTTGCCAGCTTGTTGGGACAGGGGAGGAGTCCTGGGCACCCTGTCCATGCCAGAGATTTGGAAGTCTGAGGAAACTCCTCCCAGTCAACATCCTAGAATTTTTGGGCAGTTTTTTGGCTGTCCCTGGGTTGTGGAATTATCCAGTGTGGGGGTCATCTAAACTGGGTTCAATCAGACAATGCCACAAGTCTCGCTATAGCAAGATAGATAGAGCAAATCCTAATTAAAAACTCCTATTCCAACTGTTCACATCCCAGGTGTAACCCATCCTAGAATTCCTCAGCTGGCAGTCTCTAGTTCTGGGGGAGGGGGTCACATATTCCAGGACCTATATTAAGGGTGGAAAATGTAAGATGTGGACCCCTAGGTTCAACACGCTGGACAGGTTTGTCTCAGGCACTGGGATGCTCTAGTAGTGGAAACTGTAGATGCTTTGGCGACAGTGAGATTTGTACACCCTGATCTATGCATTTCTTTCCACCTGTTTTTACAGCTTTAAGATTGAGAGCAATTCCAGTGATCCTCATAGCTTCAGATTTGCCACAACAGATGTTTGTATTTGTACTTGGTAAGACACTTTTGGCAAATGCTCCGTGGGTTCTTACAAATTGTCTCAAGGACAGATTTACTCTCCTGATTCAGTCACTGGCTTTAATCCCAAGTTCTGAATCGGGTATCCCTACCTGTTATTCCCACAATGTTAAAAGCTATGAACTCTACTCCTCAAAGTCTTGTATGTAAAAGGCATACTTCACTTGGTGTGATTCTCAAGGCTCCTGCAGACTCCCTGTGGGACCTATCCTCTTCTACAGCTGGTTCTGGACCAACATTTTACTCTCAGCAAAATTAGAAACAAGATGGCAAGAGCAGTGACCCAACCCCTGAGACCATCGGCATTTCATTTTTGATTAAGACCTTCAGGGTGTCTCCCATGTGGCTCCATTATGTTCATTCCTTGTGATTCCCTGAGAACTGAATATTGTTCTCACAATACTTCTGCCCTTTGAACCCATCAAAGATGTTGCCTTTACACTGCACTTACAAGGGGGTGTGTTTTTTTTTTTTTTATAAACCTCCTTTTCTGCAAGATAAATTCATTAGCCTATACACTCCTCGTAAAGAACCTTTTTTTGGTCTTGCAGAAGGACATGGTAGTTTCGAGGCCCATGTCATCTTACCTAAGTTAGTTTTAAACTTTTCACCTCAACCAGGACATCGTCGTCCCATCCCTCAGTCCAATGTCAGCTCATCAAAGTGAGTATTTCCTCCATCGCCTGAATGTGGTTCAGACTGCATTTTTTTTTTTTTCTTTATTATTAATTTATTTTTGTAGATACTGCTTCCATCATCCAGATGATCCCAGATCACCCATTTATCATCCCAGACGGTCCCTGTAAAGGGTGCACCAGCCTGTCGTGCCATCATCTCTAGGTGGCTCAAACCATTGTTCAAGCTTGTTCTTATTCTCTCAAGCACTGAATTTCACTTTTTTTTTTTTTTTTTTTTTTTTTTTTTTTCCCCTCAAGGCATGCCCGTTAGGTCTGTGAGCTCCTTTTGAACTTTTTGGAATCAGACCTGCATTTAAAAGATTTGCATTGGTGACACCTGGTCTTCTGTTCACATGTTCTAGCTGGTAGATATTCAGGACTTAACTTTCAGTGTAAAGTCCTTCAGTTGGCTTATCCTTATTGCTTCGCAAATTTACAAGCTGGAATAAAAATTGTTTTCTTTGGCCTGTTAGCAGATGTTTTGCCATTTTTGTGCTCACTATACAATTATTTTCTGGGAGTCCATTGGGGTCCTCTGTGTTTAGGATTATGCTGTCAGTACTGCTTTGCTATCCTGGGATGGCATACAGTTTCTTTGTTTGCCAGTGTTTCATTTCACCTCTGAATGTTTGAGTTCCTAAAGGATGATTAAAATGCAAGAAAGCGATTTTACGATGAGTACAAAAATTCTCTTTCCTGCCAAGGATTTTGAAATGTAGCCTATTTTGTGATCCACGCCACCTGATAGATGGCACAGAAAGGACTTCAGTGTCATGTTTTCTCTACAAATGTTGAGTGCCCTCAGCTAAGCATAAGTAGACATGTTGTCATTCTATTAACCCTTTTATCCTGTTGGCAAACTTCCAGTGCTAGATCAGTGCACCATTCAAGTAGAACCTGCTGTTATTTTCCCAATCTTAGTATTGTGTAAACCATGCACAGTAGGCCTAACATAAAAATTTTGTACTACCTTTTTATATTCTCGTTTTACGATCTGTATTTAAAATGCATTACATTTAACAAATGTTAACTTGAATTTATTTATATTTAGCTAGAGGCTGTCTTTAACCCTGTCATTAAAGCTATGCTCAAAGTTAATTCCTTACCTGAAAGCGGAACTAAACTCTCCTATGATAAACAGCGAAGGAAGCTTTTGTCAGAGGTTATAAATTACTGTTTTTTTCTTATAGTTACCTGGGATAGCCAGTAAGTAATTGTGAAAATTGTGGATACGTGACTGGAAAAAAGTCTTCTTTTTAAAGCTTACAAAATATTTCTGACCAAGTAACTTTACTTTTTTGCTTTTTCTTAACAGGGAACCGAAATATGTCCTGAGGAGTCTGTTGCTGATAGCAGATTGTAATTTTGTGTAACGAGTGGGTTTTTTAATTTTTTTTTTTTTTTTTTATCTTTCAAAATTTGTTTCAAGTTATAAAGTACACCTGGGGTGTTTTAAATTTATGTAGGCAGCCATTGTTGGTCTCCTGATTAGTGACCTGGCCGTACACAGAGTTGCACAGCAAAATTGCCAACCGGCAACGGAAAGATTTTTACACAGTCTCCACTACCGATCTGCTAGCAGATTTTTAACATTGTAGATTTAGCTCCACTTTGTGTTTAGCTTTGCATTGGTAAAACCAAACCATATTGCAAGAAATCCTTAATGCAAGAAAATGACACCTACTTGTATATGCAGTTGTGCTACTTTTGTTCTTCTGCACAATCTGTATGTTTAACAGGGTTGTCAAATGACAGGATTTGATCATGTATTTTTGCAGTTAAATTTACTAGGAGAATTGTAAAAATGTATAATATAAACCTTATTTAAAAACCAGACTTTTTTTTATTTTTGGACCACTAGTATTTGTTTATTGCAACTTGGCTGCACATTAATAACTGCACACAGCAGAATACAAAGTAGGGCCACTGGGTCAGAAGGCAGAAAGTAGTGACCAGAAGGGAAACTGTAGCAACCCACATATTGTATCCTTTAGTCATGACCGGTATACAAAAGAGTTGAGCAGGGGGCTTGTTGTTTTTAAAACACTCAGTACTACAGTGTGCTGAATGCATACTTTTTTTTTTTTTTTTTTTTTTTTTTTTTAGGTTTGTAAAATGAAGTTCAGTAAATGTCCTAAAAATAAATGTCTATCTATTTTGTATTGAAAATTGCTGTCATTGGTTGTAATCTATGCACTAGAATTCGCTTTTTTTTTTTTTTTTTTCTTTATAAAAGACTTTATTCTCTGCATACTTTTTATATAAAAGAATTTTATGATATACCATGTATTCACTATGCAAAATTGTTTACAGTTCCTAAAGCTTGTAAAAATGATACCAAGGGTAACAAACTGTGTCCACTCTCTGTTCAGTCTTTTTTTTTTTTTTTTTTTTTTTTTTTTTTTAATGGTTCTGTCAATATTTTTAACTTTGTGTGTGTGTTTGTTGTCTTCTGCTATATCCCTTTTTGTTTTTAAAGGCAAATTGTGTAATTTGTATTAGACATGAATTTTTGATTTATATACTTGGCATACATTTTATATTTATACAATGTACTGTACTGCTGAATAAAAGTTGAACCCTTCATCCTGCTATGGATTCAAGCGCCACTTTTTATTCTAAAACATTAGTACATTATCTGCCAGGTTTGAGTCTGCAATGCCATACATAAACAGCTAATTGTTACCCACACCTTTATTGAGATGTGTGGTAAGCAGAGGTGTGAAACTTGCAGGTTAAAACACCAAGGTGGTACAACCACACACTGAGTTCTGCACATCAGACAAACCCATGTCATGCATATTTTAAGGTGACTGGACCCCAAAGCTGGGGAATTACCTACCATCTGACCACCTGAAGAAGCCTTTGGATTAATGGAACATTTTCAAGAATATGCTAATTCAGGTGCACATAATACCACTAGATTACACTGTGTCCCTTTTTAATTTATGATTAGGACATATGGTTAAGTGACGTTGTTCAGGCATATTAAACTGTTGTTGGCTTCAAAAATTTGACCCCATAGCAGTAGGATAGCACAGTACTAGTCAGCCTGTGTGGTTTTTTTTTTTTTTTTTTTGGTTTTTTTTTTTTGTATGTGTCCTAGGACAATGGATGTCGATACAAATTTTAAAACTTTTTATTTTCTCAATCAAGATTTTTTTAAACTAACCATTTACCTCCAGTGCCTCTCCAGCCATGCCTGCTGACTTGTATCGCCTTTCACCCCGCACAGGTTGGCGGGGTGAAACACTTCAGTGCATGACTGGGGTGGCAGCTGAGGCCAACACTCCTACTTACTTCATTGGGTTGGTCTGAGCGGCATTCATCCTCTTTGCACATTTACACTTCTGGATTATGTTGAGACGCTGGCTGCAACTTTCTGTGTACCGCAGGGTAACTTTTGAGGTAACTGGCTAGTGTAGCAGACTTGTAGTGCACCTCAAAGTCAGACAGCTTGGTTGCTGCAGAGCCAAAAGTGCTCATTTTGACACTTTCCAGATCAGCTTATCTTCAACAATGTCATGGAAGCCATACCCAGACCTGGGAAATAACAGGGCTGGCCTGTAGTGTGTCCTTTTGGCATGCTTCTGTAGGTGCCCTCCTAGGCACTTATGTGCAGCCTGTGAAGAAGCTACAGACTGCCCTACTGGCAAGCGTACCCTCTAAAGTGGTCTCTTTATGGAAAAAGTTCCATCAGATAGCTGGAACATGGACCAGCAGAGCAAAGACTAGCAGAGAGGCATGTTCCTTGACCCTGTCTCTCTTGTCCCACATGTGCCTGTTGGGAACTGCTGGACCTTCTAAGTGGACCTTGGCTGCGGTAAGATTTTTGTTCGTATATACAGGGAGAGTTCTGGTCCCCCAAAGTGTCAAATTCCCAAACCTGGCTGCAACTATTTTTGTTTACCTGATGGGAAGGGGTAGCTGCACCAGCTTTGAATTTTGGCACTTGAGTGGTCCTGCAGCTGTGTGGGCTGCCCCTGTGCTCCTGCATGAGTCCCCTTCCTGGGCTTCTGCACATGTGTGAGCCACTCTTGCTAGCGCACACGAGAGCCTAATTTCCTTCCTGCCATTTCCTCTAAATTTGCATCTTCCGGATGCTACCTCGCTCCCTGCTGCCTTAATGATTTAGTTTATTAGTACATTTTAACCTTCATGCTCCAGCAGCGGTTTTGAGTACTTTTTATGGCACTCCCTTACTCTGTATTATGGTGGGGCATAAGGGAAAGTGGCTCCCTAAAGGACCTGACACTGATGGCCTGAATCACTGTCTTAACCCCTTCAAGGGTAATGCATTCTTTATTTGATCAAGGAAAGAGTTCTCAGCTACTAGGTCTGATTTATGAGCAAAATTGCAACCATGATAATACTCAGGATGCCGTATTCCCCTGGGTCTGCATTTGCTTTTTCAGTCAGCTGGGGATGAGGTAGATTGTTTCCTGTACCAATTCCTCAAAAAGAAAAGTTAAGGTTCAGTCTCATTCTGCAGACATAACTCCTAAATGTAAGAATACAATTTTAGTCCTTACTGATGCAATTTGCACATGCTTAGACTTGGAGCTCTCTGTGTCAACCACGCTGAAGGTGACAAGATGCTGCCTCCCCACACACTGTTTATGCACACTGCAGTCCCAGATCAGCCTTTCCTAACAAACATAATTTTGCGCAGTCCTGAATCACTCCAGGCCCTTCCCACCTGCCTAATGCCCCCACATGAAGCAGTTTTCTATGGGGGCTCCCGAGCTGCTGCTCTTCGTGTCCATTCACACACTCACAGCTGCAGCTCAGTCTTGCTCCCCCTCTCATTGGCCCACAGGCTGTGATTGACAATAACTCCCACTGCTGCCACTGAAGAGGGATAGTCCCTGGAGAGCCAAGGCTCTCATGCACATCGCTGGATCAGTGGCAAAGCTTGATACTGCTTGCCATAACACCTCCCACTGCCAGCATTGCCCCAGTTTTTGCTTGTGTCTTTAGGTTATGGACCTTTTCCTTTCTGAGAGCCTTTTCTGCTTCAATACACAAATTTCTACTGGAACTGCCTTTCTCTGCTGAACTTTGGTGTTCTATAGCAGTGGACGTTTTCCAGATCAGTCCTTAATGATGCCTACATTCCAAAACCGTACTGGGACTCCATGGAGAAATTGTAAATTGCATTTGATTTTGTGTATGGTGCACGCATTGGCAGACAGTTGCCTCTGTGAGTTACCTGGTGGATTGCTTTATGGTTCCAAAGCTGTAGTCTGCTGTGGCAGAGCCTGGTCCCTTAAAACCTTGTTGGGCAGGGGATGGGTGTATGCCTGACAAGGATGAGGTGAAGATTGAGTTGTTCTCGGCTCTGCTACACATAATTTGTTACCCATATTGGGGGATTCCTTTGTGCTGTCCCCTGCGTCTAGGTGGTCAGGGGGACTTGGGTTTGGGTGCTGTTTTTCTTGCTAGGCCTGTAATCCGAAGATCCTGGTCTGGTCTGGTCTAGTATGTGCCTCTTGATGGTGCTGTGAGCATTCCTTGGTTGGCCCTATTTGGTTGCAGAATGGGAGTTGATTTTTCTCTATTGTGCAGGCACAGCTGGAAGCCTATTGCAGGTGTGGCTGGGAGAACACACTGGGCACGTGCGGGTGCCATTTTGGAATCCAGCCATTTTGTGACAGGACACAAGCCAAGCAGGGTATGTACTGCACAGCACAAATGGCAGCATGAAGCTTCCAGGTGGTGGGACACTACGAGGCTACCCCTAACCCCCCTTCCCCACCAACATCCAGTTTATCAAACTCCTTTTTAGGAGGCTCATCCTGAGGCCGTTTATGTCCAAAGATGAATTTTCAGCTGCCTTTTGGAACAGTTGGTGGGTATGTATAAGGACTTGGGGCAATATGATTGTAAGAGGTCTAGTTGTCCATCCCCACAGAAGCTACTTTTTTTTTTTTTTTTTTATTATTTATTTATTCCCCCCCCCCCCCAACCGCCCTTTCTTTGGGTGAGGAGGAAGTGGGCAAAATCTCTGAGGATGGCACCCAAGTATCTTTTTTTTTTTTGTATCTCCATCTAATGGGCCGTCCACAGTGAATGTACTCAGAGGTGGCCCATAGGAACTTGAAACTGTCATTACAAAAACCTTCAGGGCCCAAGGATCTTAGTGCCCAAACCAAACAAGTTCTGCTTCAATATACTGGAGAGGACCTATTCAAGGATTAGGTCCAGCTGGACAAGCCACCCTAAGCAGTTTATGCAATACCTGATGGAAGACTGTTTCCACAAAGAGTGGGTGGTCCTGCAGGACAAAATTTGAGTCTTTTTAATGTGTAATTTTTCCTTGGTTAGTGTAATCA